AGACAATCTGGGATGTGCTTGAAGCAGGTGGGAACTCTCAGAGAAGCAAAATAGAGAAGTAAAAATCATGGTTCAAATTCGCAGAGGCAGATAAGGACCTGGCCTCCAGCAAAGCTTGGGACTTGCATAAAGTGAGGCAGGGGATTGCTTTCTTCTCGAGAAATCTCTACTATGGCTCCAGCAAACTAAGCAAGGTAGATTGGAGAACATGATCTGTTTCCCAAACCTCTTCTTACTGGGTATGTCTATATGACATGTTTACTGTGCAGTAGACTAATTTAATTAGCTCCATAGTAAACATTGTGTGTCTATACATGCACCCCTATTGGGCTGCAGTAAACTAATTAACTCTGCAGCAGGATGGTTCTTGTAAATACAAGAATTATCCTGCTGTTTAGTTTTTTACTCTGCAGCAGTGCTTGTGTAGACACTGTCCCAGCTGGCTGGGGCATGAGCGTGCTTCTTTGCAGGGGCTGCCTACCAGCTTCTTCTACCAGAGTCTTTCTAATCTTTTACAGTCTTTCTAATCTACAGATGCATCTAGTAGCACATAAAGCAACGTGCTCTGCCTCCTTCGTGTATTTGATTTCTCAGCCTGTCCCCAATAGGGTTAAGTGTATGTATGCAGTGGGGTATCTTGTTTTAGAAGTTATATATAGCGACACATACAGCAACAAGTGTGTTTGTGTGTACACGCATGCATATAGACCTGTTGCTGTTTATATGTGGTAGAGAAGGCAGGGCAAAGAATTAATCTGTCCAGTAAAAAATGTTCTGGTTTCTGGATAGCTCTTTCTTCTTGGGGGGTTTGTTCCATAGTCTCAGACAAGAACTTTGACCCTGATGGTGGAGAGTTCTGTTGTGCATTAGGATCCTAACTGCTGACTATGGCAGTCTTCTCAGGCCAGGGCACGGAGCCTCTTGAAAAAAAGGACCGAGACCCTGAATTTATATGGGAAGCCAGTATAGAGGGTGAAACATTGGTATGATGTGCTCGTCATAACTAGTATTGCTGGGAAAATGCTCTACAGTGCTTTGTACTAGTTGGATTCTCTTAAATGCAGCAGGCCTCATGCCCAGGTATATTGCATTGTGTTGTCTGTCCAATTGAGAGGAGACAAAAGTGTGAATAACTGAAGCCAAATCATTTTTCTAGCAAGATGGGTTGGAGTCTTCTAGCCAGCCCGAGATGACAGAAAGTTATCTGCCAATACTGCCATATGCTTGCTTAGCATCAGTAAAAGGAATCTGGGAACACTCCTGAGTGAATTGACCACTTTTGGGTATATGCCTCAAATGAAGAGAAACTGCAACCTGGGTACAAACTCTTCCAAAACCTTTTCTCTACTGAACAGCAGGGCTTCTATCTTGAGTTCAGCTTTGTCCATGTCATCATGCAAGTAGTGGGTGATGGCATGTGGTAAAGAAGAAACACAGATGCATATTGGCATAGAGCTGAGCAAAATGAGTTAAAAGTGTCCTGGGTATCAGTTCATTAAGTGCCATAGAGTTTTACCAGTTTGTTGGATAATAGATGCCCAGGCTTCTGGCACTAAGTAAAAGACTAGCATAGTCTCCAAAGGACTCTGTAGGACTCTAACAATAGTGTGGCACACATAAGACAAGGTTCAACGGGGAAATGTAGGTGTACATTACTTACAGCGAGACCCTGGGGTTTATAGAACTCTGAAGAAGCTGTAGAGCTGAGGTATACTGATTTAAAGGTGAATACCTCCACAGCCAAAAATAACAGTTTAATTAGAACTGGGAAGAAAACTGGACAAGAAACAAGGGATTTGAATGGATCTTGGAAGTGCTAATAACAGGAACATTGCCCACTGCTCTTGGTGAGAGCAGGGTTAAGCTGGAAAAAGTGAGAGTGTGCCTCATATATTGGCTTACATCATCAAAAGTAGGGCTGGTAGGGACCTCAGGAGGTTATCTAGTCTGAACTCTTGCTCAAGGCAGGATCATCCTTATCTAAGCCTAGTGGTTATAAGAATACCTTGCCTAACTTGCCACAGGTAAAGCAGGGGGATGAGGGCACTGTCAGTGTCCTGCCACTGCAAAGACAGGAAACAGTTTGTTAAAATACACTTGCAAGATCCAAGGATGTGTGTTTGTGAAATGTCACATTCTCTGTTCAGGGTCTTTCCATAACCTTTATTAGGATCTTGTCAGGTTCTTGCCACATAAATGTGGCCAAGATTACATCCTTTACTGACATGGACTTGTCCTGAGGCAGCCTGAGTCTCTTTATTAGTTTGGCTACAACGCTTTCCTTGCTGATCTTATTCCAAGAAGTGACAGGATTCAGTTCTGTTTCTTGGGGTGCTAAAAATGCACAATTTCATAGATAGATTTCATAGACATTAGGGCTGGAAGGGACCTTGCAAGATAATCGGGTCCAGCCCCGTGCCCAAGGGGCAGGAAGTCAGCTGAGTTCAAAGGATCCCAGCAAGCTGGGTATTCAAGTGTTTCTTAAAAGTGTCCAGAATAGGTGCTTGCACCATTTATGGTGGGAGTCTATTCCAGGCTCTGGACACTCAGATGGCAAAGAAGTTTTTCCTTAAGTCTAGCCTAAAACAGTCTTCCAGGAGTTTATGACTATTAGATCTTGTCTTCTCTAGGGGTGCCCTGGTGAGCAGGTGTTTCCCCAGTTCCTGATGCACACCCCTTATACTGTATACTTAGAGACTGCTACCAAGTCACCCCTGAGCCTTCACTTCTTCAGGCTAAAAAGTCCCGTGGCTGACGTCCCATCCCATTTAAATGATGTTCTGTCTAATTTGACTTGTCAGTACTCATCATTCTCAACCAGAACAGTGAAGAGGATTTTACCAGCCAAGTGGAAGCTTTTGAAGTTGAAGCAATATGATGCTGACTCTTTCTTCAGCCTTGCAATAACACTTTCATCTTGTACCTAGTCAAAGATCTTCAAGCACAGGGTGGGCATTAATGAATTCACCCCCAGGAAGGGTTTGACAACTCCCTCATTATGAAGGGGGAAGGGGCTTCTTGCAAGGGTAACAGCAGCAATCGTAGAACCTAGTTATGTGTTTTAACTATTGGATAGTGTTCTTTTTATTAGCATCTCTAAGACCCATGGAAATCCATTGCCATTTTACTACCTTTTTCCCCACTGCCCTGAAACAAAATTCTTTGGGGAGAAAAAAATAGTCTTGTGGGATGTTTTAGCTTTTAAATCCAATCAAGAACAATTATCTTTTTTATTTTTTCCCTCCTGAAATATGAGAACTTCCCCTGGAACAAGAAGTCCAGTTCCCAACCAGCCCTGAATGCAGATGATGCAGATACATCTGCTGGCACCCCACTCTCCAACTGAGACCCTGCTATGCATGTAAGGATCGTCCAGAAACTTGTTTAGTGTGGAGGAGAGGCCCTACGATGTAAGCAAGGAAGGTAGAATGTGGTGGGCTTTTGCTCATTACACATAGCATGCAAACGTAGCTTGCTGACAAGAACTCATGACAAGCTAGAAGAAAAGCAGTCCGGTGACCAGATGTATCAGCATCCTATTTGTATGTCACACAGAAGTTCTAGTACCAATAGCCTCCAAGAGTGCCAGCTATTAGGCCATATTGTACCACACTATTTGCTGCTTTTTATTTGCCTCTGGGAGCTGCTGCAATGTGTGATGTCCTGTACAAATATAAGAGAAAGCATGATTCCTGTCTTGAACATGCTCTTAAAAACAGCAAGAGAAAGAGAGACTTGAGGAAAGGGGTACAATGCACAAGGGAAGTGATTGGGGGTGGTTGTGGAGAAAGCACATACGACTGAAGTTCACAGTGTGGATGTGGGATACACAGCAGCCAGATCTGCCTGAGGCTAATGCTTGACAGTTGGCAGCACCAGGACATCGAATCAGAAACTCTGGCCTACTGAACCAAATAGCCAGGCAGTGTCAGATGTATTAGTCTCCATAAGGCAGTGGTGTTGTCTTGTGGGTAAAGCACTGCACAGGGACTTGGGAGACCTGGGCTATATTCTTGGCTCTCCTATGACTCCTCTGCACAGCTCTACTCTGCAGGGCCTCAGGATGTATGTTATGAGAGTGACCAGGATCAGAGTGGCCCCAAATATGTCACTCCAAGTGTAATGGCTGTCTTTGTTTCTGAGTCCACTCTGATTGTGCTTGGATGAATGACAAAAATGTGAACTCTGTATGATAATTCTTCACAAGAGTCAGGTCCTTTATGGATTCTGAAGAAATCCAAAACCTGGGGATTTGTTACTGAGGGATCTCAAGAAGTCCTCAGAGTGGTGAATCCCCCTTCAGTACAGGGCAGCAGCAGTGATTTCTTATACCTACCCAGCAGTTTGGGAGGGAGCAAATGGAAGGAAAGGAGCAAAATAGGGCTAGAAATGGAATATGCCATGAAGGGCATAAGGGGAAGGGAGATAAAGAAAATAGTGTGCCATAGTGAACCAGATCTCTTTGCTATCAAATTGGGTACGCTGACTTAGAGGCCTGATTGAAAAGCCTGTTCTTGTTGGATGAAAAAAACTCCCATTGATTTTTTTTTAATTGATTTTGGATCAGGCCCTTGGATACTGAGCAGAATCTGATGCTTTAGTGGAAGATAAAGAACAACACATCCAGCAAAATATAGCCAAGTGGGTGATTGCTGACCAGAAGAGGGAAGCCACTCTTGTCCCTGCAGGTAACGTGGTAACGTCCTGGGTCAGAGGGCCAGATTCCCTTGCTCTTATCCATGTAAAGCAATGAAGCATTTACTGTTTTTAAAGCTGTAAGCATGTTAGCACACTCCTAATATCCTGAATTATACCAGCTAATCCCATTGTTCAGAAATCATTGTGCTTCTCTTCATTTATTGTGTTGATCATTAATGTCATGAGTAGTTCATCTTTAGAGCACACTGGGTGCTGACAGATACGGAAAAAAAAACCCCAGTGCTTTACCGGAAAAGGAATCGCATCAGCTTGACCTGGCCTCCCCAGCATCCTCTGTATAGTTCATGTGCTTCAGAGGGGATTTTTGACACTTTTTATCTAATAGCTGATTCAATCATTTATTAGATAGAAGTGCCAAAAAGCTCCACTGAAGTGTGTAAGCTATACAGATGCTGGGTGAGCTGGGTCAAACCGACACAATTCCTCTTCTGAGCATGCGTTGCACTTGGTGCAGGGATGTGCCAAACTGAAAGTAAAGCACTGTTGTTTTTTTCTCCACATCTGTAAGCACTGTGTCCCTGTCTTGCTCACACTTTCCAGATCAACATGAAGGCTGCCCATACACATGCTCGAGGGTGAAGGGACGATGTTTTAATTAGAGCAGTTCCTGGAGAGCCATTCTAATTTAAAAGGCTCACCATTGCACATATTAGGCCCCTTCACCTTTCAGAATGGTCATGGGATGCTTTATCTAAAGTTCATTCAACAAGGTTTAGATAAAGCACCCCCACAGCCATTTTGAAACACATGGAGGCTTAATACATGTGGCAGTGAGGCAATGCCAGAGCGTTCTAATTAGAATGTGGAGCAGATGATTGAGTCTGCTCCAACACCTTCTAATTAAAACATGAACAAGCATGTCTATAGGCACCTGAAGAGCAAGAGTAAGAGAGATGCAGGGAATATGATGAAGGAGAGTATTCTCTCATCCTCAAAGGGAGTTCTCTGTCTTGCTTAAACATGAATTTATACAGCCCCACTGCTGTCTGTTACTCACTTACTAACACAGGAATTGCTACTGTGCAAATCAGTCAGTCGTATTTGATGTGACTGTTTCCCTCTCACGGTTGGATCACATAGGCTAGGGACAGAAGTTGCACATAAACTGGTTTAAGTGATCAGACACTGGTTTAAACCTGTAACAGAACATAAGTTCACTTTGCATAAATCAGTTTAAAAATGGCCCAAACTGGTTTAAGTTAAACCTGGTTGAATGTAGTATCAGACTTAACTGATTTGAGTCAACCTGGTTTATGCAACTTCTGTCCCAGACCCCTTCCTGGTTTAACTTAAACTGGAGTCCCCCAGCATCCCAGCATGCTTTTCAGCCCTGGGCTGTGACATCTGCTCCAGAAAGCAGGGCTGGCCCTGCCCCTTTGCTCTCTAGCTGGAGCAGGGGCAGGGCATGGCCAGACACCAGCCAGCATGGCACCCTGAGGCAAAGGAAGCAGGTAGGGGGCTTATTCCCACCCCCCTTTCCCATTGGGGCTCACAACCAGAGTCTTCCAGGCCAAGGTGTAGCAGCCTGTCTCAGGCCCCTCTTCCCCCTCACCCCACTCTGAAGCAAATGGGGAGAGGGAGGGGGATTTAATCTTCCCATCTGTCCCCTGTCCCACTGGCAGCATGGGGCCCCTGGCCAGGGCACAGCAGCCCGTCAGCCACTTCCCTTCCCCTGCATGGTCCCACCATCCACCTGTTTCACCAGCAGTTGGGGCTATAGGGCTGAGCTGAGTGGTGCTGCTGAGCAGAGGTGAGGGGCCAGGCCCTTCCCAGACAGCTCCAGCTCAGGCAGGGGCTGTGCGGCCAGATTGCTCCTGGTTCCCAAAGCCCAGGCCGGGTGGGGCTATCATAGGGCCACAGCTGGCTGGGCAGGGCCCTGTCCAGTGGTTGTGGCTCTGTGACAGTCTGGCACAGCAGCACGGGTGGGGGTTGGCTAGATAGCAGGTTGCCTGGGTGGCTCAGAGATGCCAGTGGGCCCTGAGCCCAGCAGCTGCCTGCCACCACACCCCCTGCCCTGTGCAGCACCTGGTGGCTGCGGCCACATCAAAAGCTGCGGGCTGCCTGGGGCTGGGCAGGCTGTTCTGGCCCCCACGCCTCAAGCCGCTGCTGCTGCTGTGGCCACTGCTGCTGCTGTCCCTGCCATGCCACACTGCTGTGGGTAGATGGGGGAGCTTCAGCCCAGTGACTTCTACCCAGGGCACAAAGCTCCAGCTCCTGGCTGCCTTCAACCTGCTGCACCCCAACCCCCACCTCCACAGGGGCTGCTCATTGCGCTGTGCAGGCAGAGCAGATGGAAAGCAGCTGGAGCCACAGCTCTGTCCTCTGGGCAGAAGCTGTGGGGCTGAAGCTCCCCCTATCCTGAGCAGTGCTGTGCGGTGCGGCAAGAGCTGGAGCCGCAGCTGGAGGTGAGGGGAGCAGAACAGCCCTGCCAGCCCCAGCCAGCTTCCCCTTGCCTCTAGCAGGTACTCCTCCATCTTCTGCCCCTGCTGTGCTGCTTCAGGCCAGGAGGTGGGTAGGGGAGCATGGAGAGCTTCAGCTCAGCAAACAGAGCTTTGGCTCCAGCTCCAGCTGCTTTCCACCTGCTATGTCCACCCACAGGGGCTGCTTATGCACCAGGCAGGTGGAGCGGGTGTCCTGGGCAGAAGCCACTGGACTGAAGCTCCCCCTGCTCACCCAGCATGGTGCAGTGTGGCAGGGGCAGCCACAGCAGTAGCCGTGGCAGCAGCTGCTGGTGGTAATGGGCCAGCCCACAGATCTTGATGTGGCCACGGCCGCCAGGTGCTGCACAGAGCAGGGGGCATGGTGGCAGTGGGCATCTGCCAGGCTTGGGGCCTGCTGGCATCTCCAAGTCACCTGGGCAGCATGCTACCCAGCCAGCCCCCACCCATGCTGCTGGGTTGGGCTGTTACAGTGCCGCAGCCACAGCCTCTGGGTAGGGCTCTGCCCAGCCCAGCCTGGGCTCAGGGAGCCTAAAGCAACCTGGCCGTGCAGGCCTAGCAGCCCCTGCCTGAGTTGCAGCCCACTGGGAAGGGTCCAGCCCCCAGGGCCCAGCCTGGGCCAGCCCCTCCACATCCACCCTCAGCAGCACCAACCAGCTCAGCTCACCCCACAGCTGTAGCCCCACAGCCTCAGCCACAGCTGCAGCCCCAGCCCTGAGCAGATAGCAGGGCCATGCCAGCTGGCTCTGGCCAGGCCCCCTGCCACCCAAGCAGGAAGAGTGGGGAAAGCTGGGCAGACCATGGCTAGGGTGCCATACCTGCCTGGAGACAGTGAAGTTTAATCCCTACGCCCCACCACCCTTTGCCTGAGGCACTGCCCCAGCCAGTGTCTGGCCTCAGGGGCAAGCCTCACAAGGGCTGCTTTCCCCCCACCCTCCAACCTCGAAGCACACCCTGGCTGGGGTCCCTAAAAGTCAGGGTGGGGGTTTAAGCCCCTCTGCAATCATACTTAGCACCTGCCAGAGGCCTGGCCACGCCCCCAGTCAGCTTCCCTCTTGCCTTGCAGCTGCTGTCAAAGGCAAGGGAGAGCTGCTCTAGCATCCCCCCACAGCTTCTAGCCTGAGCCACTGCACGTATGTGCCTGCATTTCCTGAATGTCTATTCACTTGCAAATCGGTTCAATCTTTGTAGGTTAAACTAACCTGTAAAGATTGATTCAATTTAGCCTCTGGCTTTTTGATCCAGGGACAACAGGGCAGACTCTACAGTGAGAGACTGCGGGACCTGAACCTATTCAGCCTCCACAAGAGAAGGCTAAGGGGGGACCTGGTGACTGTCTATAGACTCACTAGGGGGGACCAGAGGGGTTTGGGGGAGACGCTGTTTCCCCTAGCGCCCGCTGGCATAACAAGGAGAAATGGGCACAAGCTGTTGGAGAGGAGGTATAGATTCGACATCCGCAAAAACTACTTCACCGTTAGGGCGGCTAGGAGCTGGAACCAACTTCCAAGGGAAGTGGTGCTGGCCCCTACCCTGGGGGTCTTCAAGAAGAGGCTGGATGCCCACCTAGCTGGACTCGTTTGAGTCCCATTTCTCTTTTTGGGGTTTTTGTTGTTCTCCCGCCCTGGCGGGGGGTCGGGCTAGAAGATCTACTAGGTCCCTTCCGACCCTTAATCTATGAATCTATGAATCTATGAATCTATGAATGTCTGCCCCTAGCCATAAAGGTTCATAGGTCAGCTGCAGACTTTGAGTTAGCAAGAGATTGTCCATTCAGTTCAGACAGCTGAGTGGCTCTTGCTCTGCAGTCCAGTGGGCTTGGGCTTCAGTCTCACTTCTGGGCAATTGCTTTACAGATGCACGCAGCAAAAGTTCAAAAGCTTATTACAGGAAATGCAGCAATAACATTTCAGATGTGGGATCAGAATGTACTAGCTACTTTAGCTTGTCTTCATTTAAGAGCTAATTTTAACCACCTTTTAGAGTTCCCGCTGGCTAGTGCTAAAACTCTTAGGGTCGATCATAATCTCAAGCTTAATATTTCAACGACTGCACACTGATGTTAGACCTTCTGGGCCAGAGATTCAAATGACATAAATCAGCAGAGCTCCAAGGAAGCCAAGCATCTTAAGCAAGCAGGGAAAATTGCAAGTTACCAAGCCAGTGTGAACCTTTACATGTTGGATTGTGAAGCCTTTAGTCACACTGCAAGCAATCCCACTGAAGCCAACAGCACTGCTGTTGGTATATCACAATTTGATCTTGTTAGGATGACAGAGATGCTCAAAAACACTTTTTGATGGAAAAGGGTGTTTTGACAAAGCAGACGTCTCTTTTGTGAAAATTTCCTTTTCAGGTGGCAGTGTTCATGCTTTCCTTGAAGAACTGAAATCCCTGAAACTAAATTCTATTTTAAGTGAAATTTTGAAGAGCTTTTCATTTTTTGTTTTCTTGTTGTTGAAAACCTGGAAAATTGAAAGAAAAAATCTAAAGATAAACAAAAATGTTTCCTTGTTTCTAATACCATTTTAACATATGTGCAGGGAAAAAAATCATTTCCCATCTTTGTGCACTCAATTGCAAGCTCCTTAAACATGTTTCCCTGATCACCTACCACCTATTGCAGAGACAGAGTATCAGGAAAAGGCCACGTGGATTTTTATAAGGATTTTTTCCTCTTTTTCTGCAGCTTATTAAGACAGGGTGGGGATGTGACTTCTCTCATCCCTTTCCTTTTTGATTTCTTTAGAAAATGCGAATCAGATCCTGGCACTGCAGTTACTATGCCGGCAAAAACTGGCATTGTGTTATAGGCAGTTTTGTGCTTCCCTATTGTAGCCTATGGGCAAAACGTCGAAACAGTGAAATAGTTTCAGTGAAATTAAATGAAACAGTGGTTTTGAAATTAAATGAAACTTGAAAGGAAACACTCCATCAAAACATCAAAATGGAACGGTGCTGTTTCACACAGCCCTGGGCAGCACCTCTTGGTGCCCTTTCACTTCAGCACCCAGAGTGGTTGCCCCACTCGCCCCCCTGTTGCTATAACACATACAAATACAAATACTTGGCTGAACAGCAACATTGGACAAGCCCCAAGGATAGGCAGAAGGAAACTTTCATCAAGGCACAGCAGCTCTGTCAGTGAACTGTCTTCTCCTCTGCACTGCAGGATCAGCATTGCATGTGAGCCCAAGGCTCTGTGGGTGACTTGAACACATCACATTCTTCCAGAGGCCAGAGTTACTAGATGAGTTGAACCACCCATGGTTACATCTGCCCTGATTCACAGTGGTTCAGTCACTGAGTCTGTCCTTGCATTGGCAAGTGCCATAACCATAACTTGCTGTCAGGGCAGTACTGCTGGTGGTACCCTTGTGAAAGCTGGCAAGGCACAGACCTCTATATCACTGTTATCTTACCCAGAAAGCTTGCTCTATATTTATGCTACAGCTGCTAGCACTGGTGCCTCTGGCAGAGTTGCATTGACAGTGAATTATAGTTAGGACCTTGGCTAGTGCATGTAAGGTCCATAAACCTGGTTCCCCAATGTCTTGGACCTTATGCAGGCGTCTACACCAGGACAAAATGGCTGTCAAACACTAACTGATCAGGCACCTACAGGTCGGGTACCCACAAGTAAATAACTTCTCATAGTACAAGACCGTCGGCAGCTGAACCTTAAACATCCAGGTGGAAATCCCCAGCAGGCAGCCTGTTGGAGGACACAGTCAGTAGAGTTCAAGGCCAGAAAGGACCACCAGGATTATCTCTCATGAATTAACAGGTCAGTGGTCAGCCTACTGCCTTATCTCCTTTGCTTCTCTGGTTTCCATTCGACTGGAGGTGCATTAGTTTGTATGATCTTTAATACTTTTTCCAAGGGAACAGAACCAGATTAAAAACAATGCTTTCCAAGGCAAAAACAGAGTTTAAAAAGCAACCTCAAATTTAGCAGACCTAATATTGTTTTTCCAGATAATGGAGGGGGGTGATGACCAGGGTAGCCACCTTGGGCTTCACCTTTGTTAAGGGGCACAAAAACACCTGTCGTTGCAATGGTAGCTGATTCCACTGCTGCATTTGGCATGGCAAGAGCCAGCACTGCCCTGGGTGCTGTGCAACAGCCCTGCACATGGAGCTGTGCTGCTACACCTCTGATTTCCAGCAAGTGTCCACAACACCAGGACTACATGTGCTATAGCAGTACTGTACTTCACTGCCTGAACTGAAAACAGTCCTGTGACTGAAGATGGCGCAGTCTTACTTTAGTAGCCAGAGCCTACAACTAAGACCATTTCCATTATTAGGTAAGGAGGAAATGAGCATAGAAAGATGAAGTGATCTGCCTGGGGTTGAGGGCAGTGCAGAGAAGCATATGCAGGCCTCCCAGGACCAGTCCAGCTCCTTGTTCACAGTAGCTAATCTTAGTAAACCCAGCTGGAGCCTGTAACTCCAGTAGCTGGGGATTGGGTGTTGGCATTTGTGTCTACAAGAAATAGAAGCTTTGCAGATATTTAGAAGTAGAACTGTGTGCATGTATGATATTTTACATTATATAATGTATGTATGCTGGTTTTATATATAAAAAAAGCCTTCATCAAATTCCCATCAACCCACCAGAGGAAAACAAGAGAAAACTGCTGAAGCTGGGCATTTCCCCCTGCAAACACTAAGCATGTTTTCTACTTGCTGACATCCAGGAAGCCAAGCCTGCTGCTATTGCTGCTGCAGCCCTGTGCTGTCCTGCTTGAACTGCTTCTAACTCTCCTCTATTGTGCATGGATGCTGTGGCTGAATTCTCATTTTCTAGTGGGACTTTATTTTTGCCTTCCCTTCAGCCTTTGCTCGCTGGTCACTCCAGGCTCATAAATCCATCTCCTGGTGTCTCTGAATATCTCTGGATGGATGTAGGGGAAGAGACTTGAACTAAGCTGAAAAGATTCTTCTCAGCAATGAGGAGTGAGATTAGATTCTTCATCCTATACATTTGCCTATGTCACAGCACACATTTGATGGTGGAGGTCCTGTTTTGGAGTAGTTGTTATCAGGGTGGTCCAGGTCAGGAGTGAGCACAGTTACAGAGCTGGGGGAATTGCCAGTTGGGTGGCTGGGGATGGGGCTGCATGGCAGGACTGAGGTGTATTGACAGAGCTGTGCCTATGAAGAGTGGAGGGGTCTAACTGCAATAACAAGGGACATTGGCATCAGGGTGGAGCTGCATCAGCTGCTGCGAGTGAAGCCCAGGGCTGGAGTAAGCCAGAGCACTGCAAGTGAGAGGGTGGATTCAGCCCAGGGCTGAATAAAATCGAGCTGCAGAAATAACACAAGGGACCCTGTACTGGGGCTGAAGCACCTTGCAGCATGGGCATGGCTGGATGGGCAACAACACCTCTGATTTGGTTTGGATCAGGTCCCATGGGTTTGGAAGTGTATCTGCCAATACTGAGCCAGGCTGAACTTCTCCAGGAGTGAAATACTTGTCTACACACACTTGAACATTTGGACATGGGGACAAAATGTCAGTCCCTATCTTATGTTTTTGCCCTTTCCGTACCCTTTATCCTAGGCATTAAGCAAATCAACACAGGGAGTCAACTGGCTTAGGTGCCACTGCTAGTGGCATCCAAACCTACATGCTCATGTCCCTGTCTCAGGAAAGAAACACCCACTTAGGGAATGCTGTGAACCCCCTGTGTACTCGAAATCAGCCTTGTTCCATAGAGAATTTTAGCTGCTCGGAGGAAGGTGGATGCCCTAACCTGACCCCAGCTCCTTCCAGTGGTGGCCTGAGGGTTGTTGGGGCCCTGGGCAAGAGAGTCATTTGGGGCCCCTTAGAGGTTTAATTTTGATGACCTATAAGCAGCTAAGACATTTTCGATTTCAGTTTCACTTTGCCCTATCCATGAAACTGCAACGAAAGTATCTTAATACAATATTGATAATGCAAATATTCAGTCTAATTAATTTTTATGCTTATAAAGTGTGGGGCCAGAGATGGTCACCCATTCTGCCCTCTCCTAATGCCGCTACTGCTCCCTCTAGTCATGGGCTGATGTACAAATGACACCTGTGTGTTCCTAATGCCTGCACCCACTCAGCTTCCATGGCTTCTTTACTCCACTCTGTAGCCAGTTGAGGGCAGCAGGGGGGCCATAATTGCCAACCACTGGGGAGGAAAAATGCCAGAATAATTAAAAAGCAATTAATGTTTGCAGCGCTTGCTTTGGCAGGTCATTGCTGTTTCCAGTCACATCCCCAGCCTCCTGGTCTCCACCCTGCACTGCCTCACTTTGTGGGTTTTCTTTATCAGTTGCTTTCCATTTTCATTCGAGTTGGCCGTGAGAGCTAGAGT